ATGTGATGTAATCTTCCCCCCTCATGAAAATCTTTATTTGCGTTTTTAGGGATTAGAGATTGATTTAAGTTCTGACTCATGGGGTTTTGTATTCCTTTCAGTTCCACACTTTTGGTATGAAATAACCACACTAATTCTGGATATTCTTGGATATTCTTGTTACCCATGTCCATGTCTAACCCCTGTTTGAATCCTGATAAATTGCTTAATCGTCAGCAGCATCCATGCTCTATTTGTGCAGTACATGAAGTATCAATTTTCATATTTTTAATATATATCTTTTAGTTTTCATTTTTATAATTTTAGATTTGCCACCTTACAGCTTTATTGTTCTCACAGTCAGACGGTTAATATTTCTAGTTTACTTCCCTGTTACTAGTTTGAATATATTTTTTAGTGTTTGAAGCAGTTCTCTCTTTTCTGAGGAAAAGAATACAATTCTATCCAGTCTCCTCATACAGCAGGTTTTCATTGCCGCAAATGCTTGCTTGCTCTGGTCTCCCAGATTCCACATAACCCATTTTGAAGATGGGCTCCCAACCTCTGCACTGTAATCCAGTTGATGTATAGGGCCCATCTGTACAAATATAACTGTTAAAGATTACCCTGTATCTTATTACTGTTGCAGTCTAATACTTCATCTTATTGTGTCATAGATGCGTGTTAAGCAGAATTCTGAACTATCTGGAGGAGTGCCTGGGCCCCTTTCCCAGGTTTGTGCAACTAAGGAGACAGGTTTATTTGGATTTTTCTAGCGTGTGTGTAGTTCAGTTTCCCCTTCATTCTGCAACTGTTTGTTTGTTACCATCCGTCTTCTGCTGTCGTGGTGTAAATTCAGCTAGTACAGTTAGTTATCATCTGCTGAACTTCTTTCTCCCAGTCCTGATTTGGCTAAATCAAATTACTGGCTGCCAGATGAATGTTTTGCTGTTTGGCTCTTCACCTCCAGAGCTTCAGATCATTAGTAAATATGTTATTAAGAAAGTATTAATAAGTATAGTACTAGCTCTTTGAACTACTAAAATTGTGTATTACATAAAAGTCACAAGTTAAATACACTGTCTCTAACCAGGTAATCTCATCAGCTTTCTTAACTTGTGTTCAGAGTTCACAGCCATGGTGTTTTAGGCAAGCAGACTGTTTTTCCATCTCCGTTGTTAATAGCTAACTGCTTTTTCAGGTAGTTTCATTTAGGATACTTGGTTGAAGATGAACTACAGCAGTTACTATTTTTTTCGTAAAGTGGGGGTGCGTGTCCTCTCCTGACAAAATGGAAAGTAGCCTGGAAGCAGGGAGGAATGAGAAGAAGGTGTGCTCCCTCTGCTCCTGTATACTTTCCCTGTCCTGGACACTAGTTCACCACCAGGACACTTTCAGATCTCCGCCTCCATTCCAGAACTCCCATTGAGGTAGCTGGCAGGGAAATCAGTGCCAGGGAGTGGGTGGGCCACTGCGAACAGGGCACAAGGAGCAAAAGGAGGGGGTGGTGGGGTGGGCCTGGGCACCCACAAGAACAGGAAGACACTGGGGTACTGGTCAGCAAAGCTTTTCTAGACTAGGTATATATGAGAGCTTAGAAAGGAGTGGCATTAATTTGTATATGTGAGGAGTTTATGGTTTCAAACCAAACATTTAATCTGTTTCTTCGTAAATTGCCAGAGCTAGTAGGAATTGTCAACCTTCATTTCAGCCATCATGGTCTTATCTTTACACACAACTTAGTAAGTATTTATGTTCTACATGCCTGGTCTTGTATATCTTGGCAATCTTAATCACACCATGCTATTAAAGAAAACATGAAGCAACGTAGTAATCAGTGTATCTGGAATTTGATGTCATGATGCTCAAAAATACGATTCCTTCTTTTTCTCACAAGTTATTGCAAAAGGTAGTAGTGAAGATGTTAGAATACAAATACTGTGATGTGTAAGTGCAAGGTAAATTGAACCAAATTCAAGAGTACTTGGAACCTGCAAACAGCACAAGACTTTAAGAGCCTGTGCAAAAACTACAAGTCATGTTGTAAACTCTCTTAAACTGCCTGTGTCAAGATGTAAATCTTGCAGGCAGCTTCCTGCATTGCCTGGTGCTTACTGTATGTTATGAGGAGGTTCCTTTTAGGTGTTTGCAAGTGAGGTTAAGAGTATGATTTCCAAAATGTTGGTGTTCTAGAGTAGGGAGCACCTCAAACAGTTAATACTTTTTGCTGATTACATATTCAAAAATATGCGGGAAGTGTAGAAACCAAGCTTACCAGAGGTCCTTTGCTGAATAATGTATGAGAGGATTGGAAATTCTTCCTAGGAAAACACTGCAT